GACTTAGCAATGCTACGTACAATCAGAGGATGTTTATACATATTAAACCCTTGTAGTTAAATAGAATTGTTTTTGCTTCATCTAATCAGTAACGTTAGGAGGATATGAAAAGCAGAATGGACTGTTTTGCTGCTTTGGTCTAACCATAGTATAAGCAATTATAAGGCTTTTTTCTTAGTAATGTAACTAATTTTGGGTCATTTTGTGTATTTTTTTAAAAACAGCAAAATGCTTTTTCTAATGCATATTGCAAATTGAACAAATATCAAATTTGTATAAAAGAAAAAAAAAAAACTCCACTAATAGAACACATTACCAAAAATATAGAAGATACAAATCCTTTCTTTGGATGAAGGCAAGAAGGGTTCTTCAAAATAAGGAACATTACAAGTAGATAATGTAGTTTATGACAAACTGCACACAAGCAATAACCTTTTAAAATTCTAGTTAGGAAGAGCCGTCATATAAAAACATTCCTTTTAATTATTCCCCCGATTTCTTGTGTATTCTTGAACATATGTAACAAGGACTAAGTAATAAACAGGATATATTTTCTAGACTTACTTGTTGTCATAAAGTATGCTTCAGAGTCTGTCTTTTTCTCAAGCAGACACATACTTAATCTAAATATGAGTAAAAATAATTTTTTAATGAAATTAACTTCAAAATAAATGTGAAGGCAATAATCTAAATATTTGGAGTCTGGTTAGAAGGGTCTGTTACTGAGATGTTTACAGTATCGCTGCATTTGACATAGTAATTGCAGTATGCATAACAAAAGCTGAGGATTGCTGATTGTAGCTTCAAGTGAATGAAATTATAAAAACCTGGTTACCTTAATACAAGTTGAAGCATTTTATTATAAGTTATTGTATTAAATAGCTAAAATGTATCAAATATAAAGCTAAAACATATAAGGAAAAGATTCTTTGACATGAAAATAAATGGAGAACTTAACTGTGTTTTGAGATTGTTGCTAGATGTTTGTAGATGTTTCAAATAACATTTTAGTGTCTGGCAAAGTATCTCCAATTATGATTTACACTCTTGTTTCACTGTTTTTCTGTTTTCTGTTCACTTGTTTTACTGTTTGGCAATAATTTAAGCAGATTTGTGGCAATGGTGACAGATTGCTGGGACTAATAAAACCTCAGAGAGCCAATGTTGGAGTGTAGTAGCTATTGCCTGTGACAATGGCACCCTGTATGTATGCTGGTTTACAACCCAGCTGCTCCTTTTCTGATCCAGCTCTCTGCTTGTGACCCAGGAAAGACAGCAGAGAATTGTCTGATTGCTTAGGCTCCTGACAACCTTCTGCCTTCTGGCTTCTGGCTTCAACCTGGTGCAGCACTGACCATTGCTGGCCATCTAGGAAGAACTCTTTCCCTCTCTGAATTTCAAATAAGAAACAAGAAAACTTCAGCACAAAATTGCCAAAACAGATTTAAAAGCTTCACAATTTGTTATTGTATTCTTTTGGCAGACTTTGAATATCTAAAGATTGGCTGTAGATTATTTGGGTTTTTGAAAAACCACTTGGGGGCCCAGCGTGGTACCTTAGTAGCTAAAGTCCTCATCTTGCACATGCCTGGATCCCATATGGGCGCCAGTTCTAATCCCGATGGCCCCGCTTCCCATCCAGCTCCCTGCTTGTGGTCTAAGAAAGCAGTAAGAATGGCCCAAGAACTTTGGACCCAGCACCACACGTGGGAGACCTGGAAGAAGCTCCTGGCTCTGGACAGGCTCAGCTCTGGCTATGTTTGCCACTTGGGGAGTTAACCAGCAGATGGAAGATCTTTTTCTGTCTCCTCTTCATAAATCTACCTTTCCAAGGAAAACAAATCTTTAAAAAAATTTTTTAGAGCCTGGCATGATGGCGCAGTGGTTAAGGTCCTCGCCTTGCATGCCCGGGATCCCATATGGGCGCCGGTTCTAATCCCAGCAGCCCCGCTTCCCATCCAGCTCCCTGCTTGTGGCCTGGGAAAGCAGTTGAGGACGGCCTAATGCTTTGGGACTCTGCACCCGTGTGGGAGACCTGGAGTAAGTTCCTGGCTCCTAGCTCCAAATCGACACAGCACTGGCCGTTGCGGCTCACTTGGGGAGTGATTCATTGGATGGAAGATCTTCCTCTCTATCTCTCCTCCTCTCTGTATATCTGAGTTTGTAATGAAAATAAATAAATCTTAAAAAAAAGTTTTTTTTATTAAAGGGGTTAGCATCGTGACTCAGTGGCTAAATAGTTGCCTTGCAAGCACCAGGATCGCATATGTGCCAGTTTATGTCCTGGTTGTTCCACTTTCCACACAGCTTCCTGTTGGTAGCCTGGGAAAGCAGCTGAGTGTGGCCTAATCCTTGTGACCAGGTGACTATGTGGGAGACCTGGAAGAAGCTCTTGGCTCCTGGCTTCAGATCAGCTTAGCTTTGGTAATTGCAGCCATTTAAGGAGTAAACCAACAGATAGAAGATTTTCCTCTGTCTCCTAGTGTCTATAAATCTGCTTTCCAATGAAAATAAATACATCTTTAAAAAGTAAATTAAAGTAAAATGAAATTGAGAAATGAACCCGTTTGTGTAACTTTGAATACTTAAGAAGGTAATCAGATGAAATGACAGTTGCATTTCTATTTAGGGCATCCAGTATTTAACGGGGAAAGTAACTGGCTAGTATTAAAGTGTAGACCTAAAGTCGGCTCCTTTTTTTTCCCTCTGAAACGTGGAAAGTTGCACCAAATGCTGTTCATTATAGCTAGAACTTCATTAACCAGTGGGAATAAACAGGATGTTGCAGCAGTAGAGAAACTAAGCTGGCAAGCTTTGAATAGCAAAGGAAATAAAACAATTTTGGAATAACATTTCTACCTTTATCAGCTTTCTGTAGTACTTTTTGTGCTAAACTAAAGCATCTGCTATCTTAAGAGAACAAACTCAACATGGCGTGAAATTACTGCATTGCCATTCATGTTCGTTAGAGTAAGATTGTTAGCAGCCACAGGCATGACATTTTGCATCAATAATTATATAAAATGGTGCTCTGTGAATTTTAACTTAAAATGTTACGAAACAAGAGTACTCACCTTGAGCCTGTATCAAATATTTTCAGGAGTAAGCTTATCTTAGAGCAACTTTCCTCTTGGTGATAGGGTGTCCATTAAGAAAAAGTTAGGTTGGGATGAAATATTACTGTCTGAAACCTTTGGAAAGAACATTGTACTAATTTAATCTTTCTTTGTTTTTGTGCCTGGCCAATGCTAAAGGTATGAAAGGTATTAAAGGGTTATTTAACAAGTGTTGTTATTATTAGTTCAAGGGTGAGTGTTGTGGTACAGTGGATTAAGCTTAGGTTGCCCGCCTCCCATGTCTCAGTTTGTGCCAGGAGCCAATTCCTCTCCCTCTGATCCCACTTCCTACTAAGGCTTTCTGGGAGGCAGCAGGTGATGGCTGAAGCACTTGCGCCCTACTTCCCTCGTGAGAGACCTGATCTGAGTTCTGGGACCCTGGCTATGGCTGCAGCTCCCACTGGTTAGCGGGTGGGCCGAGCACGAAGTGGGCAATATCAGGCTGGACTGCAACACTCATTGGTTCACGTGGAAGACAGGGCTGGAAACAGAACTGACCCAGCAGTTGTAACCACCGGCATATGCGTAAGCTGACTGGGGTGACGGACTGTGCTGGACCCTGTATTGGCAAGCACACACAAGAGTCAGGTCTAGGATCACCTCAGATGCAGTTTCTTTCGGGATCCCTCCAACTGAACTGCTGATCTCAGAACCCCTACCATGAAGAGACTATGTCAGCCAGTGGATTTTGAAAAGAGTTCATCGTGCTTGGAGTGGCGAGATTGGCAGCAATTCAGAACTGTTGAGCTATCAAAACTGCATGAACAGGACCCTTGGAGCATGCCCTACCTTGGGGATCTGGGATGGGTGGGAGGCTGGATGGGGCCTTTCCCTTTATCTCTTCGCTTACCCCATACAGAAAAAAATATAAATAATAATATTAATGTGGAAACAATGGTCTTATCTACTTTCCTGTAGCCCTTGACCCTTTGTGCCTTAATCAGCTATGTAAAGGTTATTAAAAGAATTTTTAAAAATGCTTTTAAATAATAGTGATGAGGGAAAAAAAAGGTGATTAGAAGACTAGAAAAAGAACTCCAAAACTAATTTTTTAAAGATTTATCTATGTTTATTGGAAAGGCAAATTAGATTTATGGGAAAGAGAGACAGAAAAAAACATCTTCCATCCATTGATTCACTCCCCAAGTGGCTGCAATAATTGGAGCTGAGCCAGTCAGAAGCCAGGAGCCAAGAGCCTCTTCCAGGTGCAGGGCCCCAAAGCTTTCGGCCATCATCGACTGCTTTCCCAGGACGCAAGCAGGGAACTGAATGGGAAGCAGGGCTGTCGGGATTAGGACTGGCGCCCATATGGGATTCCATCATGTGCAAGGTGAGACCTTTAGCTACAAGGGTATCACACCGGGCCCTGTCCAGACTTCTGAGGAGGGAGCCTTGCTCAGCTGCTTATGGTACTCAAGTCCGTATTCTAACGTATTTATTTATATATGAAGCGTAAATATTGAAGTTGTGTTGGACCTCTCTCAATTTGAATATGGTTCCTAAAATAAAGCATGAAAGTAATTTGGTCTTAATTGTTAATTTTCTGTACCGTTTGTTCTCCTCTTACCATCCTCAAATGTTGTCACCACTAATACCTCCTGAGGTATGTTAAACAACCACTTCGAATGGGTGTTTATAGAAATCTACACAAGGGCATTTTTAAAAAACATTGCAAATGAGCTGGGTTCCTAACTCTGCTCTTTGATTACAAACATGTATTCTTTTCTTCCTTTCCTCTCATTGACACCTTAGGCATTAAAAAGTGGACTTAATGTTGAGTGCTTTTTAAACTAGGAATTTGTCATAATCTGAAATATTAGAGGACAAGATTTGAAATTAATTTGTCTTCTTTTTTCTTTCCTTCCCCAAATATTGTTTCTGTAGGTCAGTAACAGATCCAAGAGATGGAAAGAGAGTAGCACTCAAAAAGATGCCCAACGTCTTCCAGAATCTGGTCTCTTGCAAAAGAGTCTTCCGGGAATTGAAGATGTTGTGTTTTTTTAAACATGATAATGTAAGTGAAATTGGTGTTTGGAGAAAAATTTTTCTAAGCATAATACATTGAAGTATAAATAGCAGAAAAGTTGTAAAGGAAACAGGCAAGTAAAATTTGTGCCAAACTCTATGAACAGAAATAAGCCCACCAGTGAAACTATAGAAGAGACTTTCAGTGCATACATTCTTAAAGGTGATCATTTAGTATTTTGCTTTCTTTTGTATATATTCTCTATGTCTCAATAACTTTCCAGTTTTTGTACAAAAATAATTGGTTTTCAACCTTGATGACATACTGCAATCGCTTGAGGAACTCATTTTATAACAAATTTAGAGGTTTGAAAATTATACCAAGAATTGTATGACTTGCACAGGGCCCAATCTCCAAATTAGGAAATACTGAACCTACTGAATTTCAGATTGGACTCTAAAGAGTGTGCCCCTTCTTTATCAATCTGAATGACTAAATTATTAGTAACTAAATATGCTTAAAATTCATAGCAAAGGAACATGTGTTTTTAGGCAGAATTGGTTGAAAAAAGACAGGGTGGTTGTTATTAAGGGAGTTAGAAGCCTGACACAAATTTGACTTTGTCTATGATTGAGCAATTAACAAGTTTAAGGGATTCCAAGATTAGCTGATTGACAGTTAAGGATTAATTGAGGCAAAGCAAATGTTGGTATTAACTGAGGAGTAATACTAACATTTAACACAAAAATAAAACATAATATAAGTGATGTAAGTAGAAATAATTATGGTTCCTGACTTTAAATATTTTATACTGTAATAATCAGAGTTTAGATTAAATATGTGGGAAATAATTTCTCTTATAAAAATGATAACCCTACGGGGGGAGGGATATGAGAAGGAGGGACAGGTAGTCCCAGAGCGTATGGAACAGTATCATGCATCTAAAAAAAAAAACTAAGATATCCTGGTTAGTTTAAGATCGGGTTTACAGAGATGGTTACTTGTGAAAAATAGGTTCATTCTGCCTTTTGAGAGAGATCTTAAATAATCCGGAATGAAAAGTTTGACATGCAACGTTTACCTGGAGGCTGTAGTCATTGGACTGTTTTTTTTTCAATTTTATGTGAAAAGAAAAGCTTACATTTTTCATATAGTTATCCTTTTGTGCTATTTTAGTTGCTGTTGTAAAACCTATGTAAGAATAATAATTTCCTATAATTCTTTTTTTTTTTTTCCCTGTAATTCTTAATGTTTGCTGATTAGAAAGTTTGGTCAAAATTTGAGTTAAGATTTACAAAAAAAATAGCAATATCAAACTTGCTACAGGTTCACTTAAAGTTACTTATTTGACATGTTTCATTTGAATGATTACCCCCTCTTGAATCCCTTTACTTTTTTTATTTTTTAAGACTTACTTTATTTATTTAAAAAAAAAATGGCAGCAAAGGAGGGGTAAAGAAAACATCTGCTGGTTCATTCCCCAAATGGCCATAGTGGTTTTGACTGGGCCGAGCTGAAGCCAGGTGCCTAGAAGTCCATCAGGATCTCCCACAGAATGGCAGGGACCAGGGCCATCATCCACTGTCTTCCTGTGCACATTATTGGGGAGGTGGATTGAAAGCGCAGCAGCCAGACTCCAGTGAGTGATCTGTTACGGGATGCCAGCATCATAGGCTGTAACTTAACCCACGCGCCCCAGTGCTGCCTTCTACCTTAATTTTACTTTGAAGATTTATTTATTACTGTTGACAAGGCAGATCAGATTTATGGAAAGAACAAGAGACTGAAAGATTTTCCATTACTGGTCCATTCCCCAAATGGCCACAACTGCTGGAGCTGAACTGGTCAAGCCAGGAGTTTCTTTCAGATCTCCCTCATGGGCACAGGATCCAAGGCTTAGGGCCGTCCTCTCCTGCTTTCCCAGGCCATTATGCAGAAAGCTAGATGGGAAATGGAGCAGCTGGGACACGAAGTAGCACCTGTGTGGGACCCCAGCACTTGCAAGGTGAGGATTTAGCCATTGAGCTATCATGCCAGGCCCTCTATCTTATTTTTTCAAGGAATATTTTAGTGTTTTAATCTATTTTCATTGCCTCATAATATGTTTGTTTTAATACGTTTCAGAATACTATTCAAGGTGCTTTTTCATGACTGGTTCCTCAGATTTCTGGATATATAATTTAGAATGATGTTTAGTACTCATTTTTTTAGTAATCAATTTGAACTAATAGGCTAATACTCATTATTTAGTAATTTACTTTCTGATTCTTTTACTTAAAAAAAGGATTTATTTAATTAAAAGGCAGAGAGAGACACAAAACGAGATCTTCATCTACTAACACTGGTTCACTCCCCAAATGTCCAAAATGAGCCGGGCTTCCCTGGTCCAAAGCCAGGAGCCAGGAACTCCATCCTGGTCTCTAACGTGGGTGGCAGAGGCCCAGGCACCCAGGCCATCTGCTGCTGCTTTCCAGGTACATTAGCGGAGAGCTGAAGTGGAACAGCTAGGACTTGAACTGGCACTCATGTGAACCTATCAGCTTCACCTGCTGCACCTGCTATGCTACAGTACCAGCTCCCTCTTGATTTCGCCATAGTACTACCCCACCATCAGAAAACACAGACTTTATGTATCTTTTCAGAGTTTCCAATAAGAATATCTTAGGTGAGCTACAAAGCTAGTGTCAGTAGTGTAAGGAAAGAAGTTACCTGAGTTCTTGAAAATCATTCTTTAAAGCACGTAACGAATTCTGATGTTTTTAGGAGCTGGGCTGTAGGGTCACAATTGTATTTGAATTGTAATTATACTGTTTCCTAAGTGATGTGGCTTTTTTTTTTTTAAAGATTTATTTATTTATTTATTTTCATTACAAAGTCAGATATACAGAGAGGAAGAGAGACAAAGATCTTCCATCTGATGACTCACTCCCCAAGTGACTGCAACGGCCGATGCTACGCCGATCCGAAGCTGGGAACCAGGAACTCTTCCAGGTCTTCCACATGGGTGCAGGGTCCCAAAGCTTTCGGCCGTCCTCGACTGCTTTCCCAGGCCACAAGCAGGGAGCTGGTTGGGAAGTGGAGCTGCCAGGATTAGAACCGGCGCCCATATGGGATCTCAGCGTGTTCAAGGGGGGGGGACTTTAGCTGCTAGGCCACACCACTGGGCCATAAATGATGTATCTTGAGCCTTAACTTCTATAAGTTCTAAAATTTATCATTTTGCAGAGTGGCCATGTAAGAGCTTGCTGTAGAAATTAAATCAGGGCATCTGTTATGCTGCATCTCAGTCCCTGTTCAAGTCTCAGTTTGTGTGCTTGCACGACAGCTTCCTGCTCACACATATCCTAGGAGGCAGCACACGATGCCCCTGGCTCTCGGGCTGCAGAACTGAATTGGATCCTACTCCTTGGGTGAGGCCTAATCCTGACATTGTAGGCATTTGAGAGTGAACCAGTGAATGGAAGTCTCAATCTCTGTCTGCCTTTCAAATAATAGAAACATTTTAAAAATCTAAAAAGCACACATACACAACCATTGTTTGGGGCTTCTGAGCTTCATTTTAAAAGTAATTTCTCTGGGTGAATATTATGGCATAGTGGGTTAAGCCATGATTTGGGACACCTTCATTTCTCCTTTGAGTGTTGGTTTGAATCACCACTGCCATGTTTCCAAGCCAGCTTTCTGTTAATGCTCCTGGGAAGCAGCAGATGACAGGCCAAGTATTCAAGTCCTGTCACCCAGGTAGGAAACCAGGATGGAGTTGCTGGCCCCTGGTTTCAGCCTTATCCAGTTCCAGCTGTTATGATCATTTGGGAAGTGAATCATCAGGTAGATAATCTCTGTCCTTCTGTCTTACTAAAGTAAAGCAATTTAACAAAGCTGTGATGTCCGTAGAGGTGTTCAAAAGTAGGCAGATGGCTGGAGGTGAAAGTGATGTGGTACCACAATTTCATACATGGTTGATTTCTGCTGTGCTTGAGATCTGCCCTCGAAAGCATCCAGGGCCAGCATTCCTGCTATGTGTGGAATGTCTGTCTTAAACAGAAGTGGGCAATAAAAGCTTATTAATTGTATCCTGTATAAAGAGTGCATTGCTAGGTCATGTGGAGAATCTCCCCTACCCAAAGAAATGCTTAAAAAAGATTCTTTTTGAAAGAGGTACACCAGATATTTAACAGGTATTGCTGTATGTCAGGAGGTATATGTTATTGTTATTGTTTTTTTTAAAGATTTATTTATTTGAAAGACAGAGTTAAAGATAGAATAAGGAGAGACTGAGATCTTCCATCTACCAGTTCACTCCGCAGATGGCCATAGTTGCTGGGACTGGGCCAGGCCAAACCAGAAGCTTCTTCCATGTGGGTGGCGGGGACCCAAACACTTGGGCTGTCCTTCACTGCTTTCCCTGCTTTGCATCCTTTCCTGCTTTGATGCTTGGGAACTGCCTCAAAAGTAGAGTAGCTAGGGCTCAAACTGGTATGCATGTGGGACGCTGGCACTACAGGCAATAGCTTCATCCACCGTACCATGGCACCAGTTTCCTCCCTGCCTTTTTTTTTTTTTTCTCTCTTTAAAGTCATGTTGGGTGGGTGTTTGACCTAATGGGTAAGATGCCATTCATTAGCCCATCTCCCTTATCAGAGTGCTTGGATGCTAGTCTCTGTTCCTGATTCCAGCTTCGTGCTACTGCATGCCCTTGGAAGGCAGCAGGTGATGGTCAAGTAGTTAAGTTCCTGCCACCCGCTGCCAGACTCTTCAGCCTGGCCAATTCAAGGTGCTGTGGACATGTAGGGTAGGAACCAGTACATGGGAACTCGGTATGTCGCTCTCTCTCAGTTTCTTAAATGGACAACTTTAAAACAAAGGTCTTTTCAGATAGGGCTTGTTAATCCTTCTTTACAGAGGAACAGCCAGAGGCTTAAAAACTAAATAATGGGCCTGGCGTGGTAGCCTAGTGGATAAAGTCCTTGAATGCACTGGGATCCCATAGAGGTATTCAGTTCCCATCCAGCTCACTGCTTGTGCCCTGGGAAAGTGGTAGAAGACAG